ATGAACCTTACCTTCCTTTCTAGGGATTGAGCACAGTCTTTGAATAGTTAGGGCATTGATAATTGCACACCCCTCCGGTTTTAAGCCTTCTGCTAACCTATCCAAGAAAAACATTGGTGCTCTATCTCATTTGCAAGATTTTTCTGACTTTACTTGATTTTATTAACTTTAATGAGGATTCCCACATTTCTTGCTTGGTGGTTTAAATCCAACAGCCCTGGATATGAATTGTTTGACATTGCTGTTTTTTTCTTCTTTCCTCCCTTTAATGATGTCTATTGCATGTTTTGACAATTTTCATCACATATTTTACAGGTTTGTGATCTCCTTAGTTGGGGGGGTGGGGGGATATGCAGAAAAGGTGGCTGTTCCAGCATTTCAATGTCTTCCCATTCCTTCAGGTGTTTCTTTATAAGATGTTGCAAGTTTTCCTGAGGTGGCTTGTACAGTTTGGTCGACTGATTTATGACGAGCAATTTGACCTCGGGTGAAAGTTTTCTGGTATTTATATAAATAAATTGATTAAGTTTCTTATAAATAATTGATAATTAAATTTATCTTGTTTCTCATTTTTCTCATTGCGTAATCATGGGTGTGACACATGTTTTGATATTCATTATGTCATAAACAAATGTGTAAAGCCTGATTTGATAATAATCGTGCCTTATTGTGGCCTGAAAATGTCTAGACCCACATAGTAACTATTGTTTGTAGCCTTAGAGTCTTGTAGCATGTCTGCTTGACGCAAAGTGGGGAGTTTTTTATTTTTTTTGGGCGTATGTGTGTGTGTGTGTGTGTGTTTTGGGGGATATATATTTGGCACTGAATCAGTCACATATCTGGTTATTATCCAGTTTTACTGATCATTCACAATTGCAATTTGTGACTGTCAGACTATGCTTTTGTTTCTTCCTTTAGTGCCTGGATTCTATCCCATTTGGGGTTATTGAAATTATGCTTTGGAGAAGTTTTTAATCAGTGGAGATTTTAACTTATTTTGATTTGATCTGCCTTAGATGTAAACAAGCTTCATTATTTTTCTAATTTCACTCACTGTAGTTCCCATTGGGGCTAGCTTCATTCTTTTTCTAATTTCATTCACTGTAGTTCCCCCTTAAGTCCCAATGGTAGTCCAATGTTTTAGCTCTTTGAAGCATGCTTTAATCCTCCACTCAAGTAATGTAGTCCATAGTTACATGAGGAAATTGCTATGGCAGTCTCTGTGTTAAATGATAATGAAAGAAGCTACTGCAAAATAATTTATTTTTGCTCTTTGTAATTGCTGTTGAATAACAGATTCATGGAGGATCAAGTGGTATTGGCACCTTTGCTATTCAGGTCACCAAGTGCATAGGGGCAAAGGTTTTTGTCACAGCAGGTCTGGTATTAAAGAAGCAGCATGTCTTTACGTCTCATCATATCCAATTTACTAAACATTCAACGTAAAATATATTCTCTGTGAAATAATGCTACAGCTCTTATGCCATTCAGGTACTGAAGAAAAGAAGTTTTGCAAAGAGCTTGGCGCTGATGTCTGCATAAATTACAAAACTGAAGACTTTGTTGCGAGAATCAAGAAACTGGAGGCAAAGGTACCCTATGGATCAAGGTTCTAAAACTCAGCTCATCTAAGAGACTCGTCCCTTGGCCGAGCTGAGTTACTCAAGCAAATCGGAGTGCACTCTGGATGAGTCGGGTTACTCAAGCAAATTGGAGTGCACTTGGCAAATCTTGCGCAGGGCCAAAATGCCTTAAAAAAATTGGAAAAAATATGAAAAATCTGAAAAAATAAAAAAGGTAAAGAAAGTAAAATCATAAAAAAAGCAATAAAAATTTAAAATAAGATTTAAAAAGAAGAGAAAAAATGGACTTAAATAACCTGATTTACAGCTTGGGACACTTCAAAAAAATAGAAACTATGAAAGTAGGGATTATGGCACAAAACAATCGCCAATCTTTGCCAAACATTTCAAAATCCTACACAAACAATTATACAACATTTCTACATTTTTTAAAAACACTTCAGATTTTTAATTTTTAATTTTTAATTTTTTTTATAAGGTGCCCCGAGCTGTGTGATGTACAGACAACTCGGGGCCATTTAGAGTCACCCATAGGGCAAGTTCAAGTAACTTGTCTGAGTCCAAAGTGGACTTGGGCTAGTCCCACAACACTGCTTCGGATCTATTGCGTTAATTTACAATGTTCGGTTTGATTTCCTCATAAACCCCAAATTTTCATTGACAGGCGTTGATGTCATTTTGGATAATGTTTGGGGCCCCAATTTCCAGAGAAACCTTGATAGCTTAAACATGGATGGAAGACTCTTTATAATTGGTTTCCAGGGTGGTGAAGTGGCAGAAGCCAATCTCTCAGGAATTCTTGTGTGGCGCCTGACTGACTGTGCAAGATAATTCTCATTCTTCCCAAAATCGTGGACCCTCCCCTCTCCACGCACACACACACACACCACCCCACTCCCCACCCTCCAAAAAGAAACAAAAAAAAAATAGTGGAATTTTAAAGAGTTAACTAGCTTTGGGTGTGGAAAATATGATTAGGTTTTCTTTTCTCATAGAATATTATGTTTCCTCCAATTCTTTTCGAAACTTATAAAACTACATTCCTTTGCTCTTCCATGCTCTATATTCAATAAGTTGTCTCTCTCTCTCTCTCTCTCTCCCTCCCCTTCCCCCCCCCCCTTCTTCTATCTCTTTTCTCTGTGTGCATGTGTCAACCAAATTAAATTTGGGTTTACAATTTTCAGGAGAAAGCTTATAGGGTTTCTTAATTTTTGGAAACGGCCATGACTTTTACTGAGTAATTTTCTAAAACCAGTGGGTTTTGGTAACATTTACTATCTCTCTCTCTTTTTCTTCTTTTTTTTTTTTAAAAAAAAAAAAACAAAAGAAAGGTTAGGTCAGCTTGTTTTACTTTTCTTGAATGAACTTCAAGGGTTTGAACTGTCGATCTGCCTCACGCAAATCATCTAACTTTTTCTTTCGTCTTCTGTTTTTGTGAATGAGAACAGGTGCTGGTCTTCGAAATAGAACAGTTTTAGAACAAGGCAGTGATGGTTTCTGAGGTGGAGAAGCATTTTTGGCCGCTAATTGAATAAGTTCAGTTGAAGCCCGTGGTTTATAAGTACCTTCCACTCTCTGAAGGGCCAGAGGATTATGGAGAGCAGTACACACTTTGGTAAGGTACTGCTTCTTCCATGACTAAATAAAACTTGTAATGATGTATTTCACAAGACATCAGCAAATGATAATGGATTGTTTATTTTTTTGGTCAATAAAAATATTGGATTGTTACAATCGAAATCTTCTGTGTAGCCATTGTTGGTGAGATCTTTTTTCAATTATTGTTAGAAGCTGTTATCTGGGGCATGCTGATAATTTCTTGAAGCCTGTTAGGAAGATGATTTGACGAGTTCAGCAGAGATATTACGTCTACATAATCAGGTGTACTTAATGAAGGGGTAATGGAATTCTATCAAAAATATGTGGAGCATTGGCATTCTGATCAAAATGCATTGATCTCTTTCTCTGTGCCCTTCTCTTTGCTCTCTTTGCCAGAGAGAGAGAAAGAGACACTCATCCTTTGATATGGGCTTCTAAGTTCCAGTCCAGTATCCACACACGCTAGAGAGAGAGAGAGAGAGAGAGAGAGAGAGAGAGAGATAGACTACTAAATTTTGAAGTATTGTTTACATGATGATAGTGAATGGAAATAACTTGATCTTCAGGTAACTATTCTCAGTGTTTTTATGAAATTCTCTGTATTGAGATTTTGAGGTTCCGTGTTTGTTTTATCTATTGTTTTAAACAATAGGTAAAAATTATTACCAAATATGAATAGGAGAAAGGTATGTCAGAACCTCGTGGATGCCCTACTAGAAACTATGAGAAGGGTAAAGGAGAAAGAGATGAGAGGTACCTTGATTTTGAAATGAAGGTCTCCAGTTCGGATCCACCGTTACCTTAATTAGAAAGTCACTCTCATTGTTTTATGTAGGCAATTTTTTTTTATTTTTATGTAGGCAATATTTAGAGAGAGAAATGGCAGGGGGAGACTTGAGTCTCCTGTCATTTGGCAAGTCCACCTACAAAATCTCCACGCAACACAGTGACTACCTGGGGTTACAGAAATGAATTCGTAAGATACACTGCATATTATTTGACTCTTGGCGGGTGAATACACTATTAGTAACTCCCTATCAAATTTTTAAATATAACCCTATGTTTAACCAAAATTTGACTCTATTTGTCTCTTTGTAAGATCTCTTATCAACAAAGACCTTAACATTGTCACACAAAAAAAAAAGATAATTGAAAAAGATTTTTTTTAGGTGGATCAATGGGGATTATAGGCCTTATCCATTTTGAAAATAGCCTGATTTTTAAATGTGTCAGTGAGAATGGTAACAGTAACTCTCAACAGAGGTACGGTAGTACTACCACCACGACCGTAGCCCTTCTCATAACTGCAACAAGAAAGGTCGGAAAGAAGGGCCATGCCACCTCAACCTGTTTCTCTCTCTTCGACCTCAAGCTAAATACTGCTCTTTTTTCTCTCTCATGATCACCACTCTTCACCTTTACTACTACCATTCATCTCCCACTCACGGTCTTCGTACTCTCTACTACCATTTGTCTCTCCCTCACTATGTTGCAAATATTGAGAATCATATCACATCATTCTAAAGGCACAAACTTGCCAATATCTTTTCTTACTCATAACGGTAAGATACTGCTCTTTTTCGGAACTGTGGTTTTCAAAGTCTTTCTTCACGTTTTAACGATGTTGAGGACAATTTCGTAAATAAAGCTGTACATGTCGATATAAAAGGCACAAACTTGCCAATATCTTTTAAGAAAAATACGATGTTGTCCTCGTATTCGCGTCCTTTATGTTGCTAGGGTTAAGATTGGCTTTGAATAAAAGTTGGGGTTAGTTTAGGGTATTCTTTCCATCTCCCTCTCGCTTTCCCTGTTCGTATTCATAAATAACCAGGAAAAGATGTGAGCGAGAGTTCCCTCTCTTCCATCACCTGGTATGAACTTTCAAACGCTAGTAGTGCTCTGTGCCATCATTCCCAACCCAAAACCACAAATGTTCGGCCGAAGCTGCTGCCGCCTTAGTGCCGATCGAACTTCGAGAATTGCAGGTATCAATAGTTGCTCATCGTAAGCTCTGAGTTTCTTAAACAAACGCCATTTAAGAACTGGATTCGGCCATATGGATTTAGATTTGTTATTGGGTTTTTGAGTTCTTCATTTTTTCTTCTTTCTGGGTCTTTTACTGCTTTTTTTGGGTATTTTTTTAGCCCGAATCTGGCCTTTAAGCTAAAGAATCCATTCATGGAGGACCCAAGATTACCCGTTGTGAGAGTAGGCTCCCTAACCTCCTCCTGTCTCTCACTTTCCTCCAATATTAGATGATTTTTATTTTTTGGGGAGCAGAAACTTCCCGAAAAGACAAAAGTGGAGAAAATGGAAACGCAAAGTTCAAGTAGAAAGTCCCTGCGAAAACATGCAGGGCTTCTCAATTACGATGAGGACTTGGCCTTTGAGTCCATAGAAAGCCACCTCGGTGACCTCCCTAAAAGGCGTACCAAGACTTCTGAAGATTTGCAAAAGGAGACCGAAACCGAGGCCATGATTGCGTTTTCATTAGGGTTCCCTATTGATGCTCTCCTTGAAGATGAGATTGAGGCAGGGGTAGTGAGGGAATTAGGTGGCCAAGAGCAAAATGACTACATAGTGTTGAGGAACCATATTCTTGCTAAATGGAGGGCGAACGTTAGATCATGGCTCTCTAAAAGTCAGATTATGGAGACTGTGAGCTCGGAGTATAGAGCCCTAATGAGCTCTGCGTATGATTTCCTTCTCTCTCATGGGTACATCAATTTTGGAGTCTCTTCCTCAGTCAAGGAGAAATTAAGAGAAGAGCCCACAGAGGGGACTGTGCTGATTGTGGGTGGTGGGTTGGCTGGCTTAGCAGCTGCTAGGCAGCTCTTGGCTTTTGGGTTCAAGGTTCTTGTTTTAGAGGGTAGAAGAAGACCAGGGGGCAGAGTATACACCAAGAAAATGGGGCTAAAGGGTAATTTTGCAGCTGTGGACCTTGGTGGGAGTGTTATAACTGGAATTCATGCCAACCCACTTGGCGTTTTGGCTCGACAATTGTCTCTTCCACTTCATAAAGTAAGGGATAGGTGCCCATTATATAAACCAGATGGAAACCCAGTTGATGAAAGGCTTGATTCGAAAGTTGAGTATATATTTAATGAGTTGTTGAATAAGGCCACTCAATTGAGGCAAACTATGGGGGAATTGGCAGGTAATATCTCTTTGGGTTGTGCTCTAGAGACTTTCAGAGAGATGTATGGAGTGGCAAGGGATAAAGAGGAGAGGCAACTTCTCGATTGGCATCTTGCTAACTTGGAATATGCTAACGCTGGGCTATTATCCAAGCTTTCAGTGCTATTTTGGGACCAGGATGATCCGTATGAGATGGGGGGTGATCATTGTTTGCTTGCCGGTGGGAATTGCAGGTTGATAGATGCACTGTGTGAAGATATTCCCATTCTTTATGAGAAGATCGTTCAAACTATCAAATATGGAAGTGAAGGGGTGGAGGTCAAAACTAGTGATCTTCAAGTGTATCAAGCTGATATGGTCTTGTGCACTGTACCTCTAGGGGTATTGAAGAATAAGTCTATTACGTTTGTTCCTGAGCTTCCAAAGAGGAAACTCAAAGCCATTGAGAGATTGGGTTTTGGGTTGTTGAATAAGGTTGCAATGGTTTTTCCCTATGTCTTCTGGGGGGAGGATCTCGATACATTTGGTTGTCTAAATGAGGATAGCCATAGAAGGGGGGAATTCTTCTTGTTCTATAGTTACCATATGGTTTCAGGGGGTCCTCTCCTTATTGCACTAGTTGCAGGAGAAGCTGCAATTAGATTTGAAACCACAGACCCTGTGGAGTCCCTTCATCAAGTTTTAAAAATCCTTAGAGGTATATCTTGTTTTATTGAGATCCTCATCTTTCTCCAGTGTTTGGTGTACCATAATTCTATGGACTGTGAAAGATCATTATCCACTGGCGTCATACCATCCTATGAAATGACGGATTATAAGGGAGAGAGTGAGCTGGGTCTGCCTTGGGTTCATTTCCTTTTGTGGTGGATCCTCCCTCCCTCTCCCTCTCCCTCTCTCTCTCTCTCGCTCTCTCTCTCTCCATTGCTGTCCATCTTTTCATTGGATGTTGATGACCCCACTGGACTGTTGAATTATAGAATGAGTTCCCTTCTAATAAACATCCATTTTGGCAAATGCCTCTTTATTATTCTTAAGAATGGTCACCTGATGTATTATTGTACAACCTTTTCTGCTATTTGTCTACTCCTTTTAGCTATAGTTCTTTAGCAATTTGTACAGGTATTTACGGCCCCAAAGGTGTTCTTGTGCCTGATCCTATTCAATCGATATGTACGAGATGGGGAAGTGATCCGTTATGCCAGGGTTCATACTCTCATGTTGGGGTCGGGGCTTCAGGTAGTGATTATGATATTCTTGCTGAAAGTGCGGGGAATGGTCGATTGTTCTTTGCCGGTGAGGCCACCATTAGGCGATATCCAGCTACAATGCATGGTGCTTTCTTAAGTGGATTGAGAGAGGCTTCATGCATCCTCGCTGCTTCAAGAAATAGGCATGGAGATCCTGTGAAGGGCTTGCCGAAGAGGTTGGAGCAATGTAAGGTTTACCTTGCTGATTTGTTCAGGAAGCCTGATATAATTTGTGGTAATTTCTCGTTTGTATTTGATCCTAGAACTGATGACTCAAAATCATTGGTACTTTTGAGGGTCACTTTTGAAAAATGTAGCGCTATAATTGATGAGAACACCAGTTTAGGAGAATTGAGGAGTGGCTTCCTACAACATGAGAACCCGTGCTTGCAGCTTTATGCTATACTAACTCGTGAACAAGCTCTTGAGTTGAACTTGGTGAGTGGAGAAGATGCTAAGCTGAAATTTCTTTACAGAAATATTGGCTTGAAGTTGGTAGGAGTTAGTGGTTTAGGAGCTGCTGGCAACTCCTTGGTTTCTGGCATTGCTAGTTCAAGGAGAGGCAGATGCAAAAATCTCTCTGCCGTTGTATAAGAACATGCTGACTAGAGAGGTCTTCTTGTATTAGTATGTTGTTGCCCATTCTCTTGCTTTCAAGAACCATGATGCTGAGAATTATCCTTTCAGCACAGGCTATTTCTCTTGTACGAGTGCACTAATGTAATAGTCTGCATCTGTTGTCCATGTGGATGTCTTTGCCCATCTTTGTGTGTGCGCCTGTGTGTATAGATATGGATGAATACGCCCATAGATACATAAGCACATATGTATGCATGCTGTGTGTGTATGTGTATATCTGTATGTGCATTTGGATAATGTTTGTGTACCTGGATGAACACAAACTTATCAGTATATTCTAAACATGCAACCTGAAGGTCAAGATGAAGAGTTTGATAACACTAGGCTCTAAGCTAGTACTGCTATATATATGTATATATCTGAAGAGACTTACAGTTTACCTTTATCAAACACTGCTTTGGCTGTAAAAGCAAATAACTTTTGCTTTAGAATCTAGGCTGAAACAATGAGGCCCACAGACTCTCTGCCATTTTTTGGCCCTAACTATTCTCTTTTTTTTTTCTCCTTTTTTTGGATAGTTCAGTGGTAGGAATCAAATGTGAGATGTAGCATTGCTTGACACTCAAGCCCAAGCCCTATTTCTGGTCTCACCGTTCTATTCAGTCAAAGATATCAAGCGGCACACTTTGACCTCTTGGCCCATTTTGTTTGTTTGTTTTGTTTTTTTTTGGGGAGGGGGGGTGCGGGTGGGGTGGTGTGGTTGTGTTCACAACTTTACTCTCTGAGCTATGGGAGGTGTAGGGTAGGGTTTAAGAAGGATAGAACTCTCATGTTTATGAAAAAATATGACTTTCTCTTGTTTTAAATTGCACATAACATATTCATAATTATCAGCTATTTGTTTCTTTATGTCCTCTGATAAGTTTAACGTGAGAGCTAAAATAAAAAGCTTACTTGTAACCTTTGGTGGTGGTCTTGGGTTGAAGTTTGAGATCTATTACTACATGTTTTTCTTGCTTGGCAGAAACACCTAATTATGGAATTTTTACATTTTTACCCCATTGTCATATGTGGTTTGCATTTATAGAATTATCAACTTTTGTCAGAAACTGCTCATAGTGAGCTTTTTACATATTTTTTTTGTCATTGATTATCAAAGAAATTTAAAAGGAATTATAGCTCATTCTACATTGTCTTTAGACCTCATTCTTTAAATAATATGATCTGATTTAAAATATTACAATTGCAATTGGAGTTCTTGTGTTGTAGAAGTTTTTGTTGGACTAAATTTAGTGGTGTTGTGAAAAAATGCATTAAAATTAGAATTGATCCCTTACCTTCAAGGTTGGTATTATCAGCAACAACTTCAGTTTACAATAATATCTTGAGTTTACTCATAAAGTGGAATGTATAGTTGAAATGCTTTGAAAGTATTAAAGAGCAACTCAAATGTTGTTGAACCTGAGATCTGCTAATCCAAGCATAGTTTCACTAAATGTTTTTGGAGCATGATGATAAATGACATCAGTTTGTTAATGACATGAAAATGTTATGTTGTTTTGTTATCTTATCCACAGTTTATAAACTTAAATTCAAGTTGACACTTTTGTGAATGAAACTGACTCAATTTTGTGGATTCTTCCCTTTTGGTATTTGTGTTTTTAGTAGAAAACATAAACCAGGTGAATTTAGAAAAATGATAGAAATGGGAGCATAAAGATATTTTAAGTATTAAAATGGAATAACAGAACAATTGGGTGTTAAGAACACTATAATGAACCATAACTCATATCCATGTGAAGCTATATTACCTGGATGTTGTTGTTTGAATGTGCTTGTATTGAGAGATGCTTCTAGATTCTTCTGCCTCTGCCTAACATTAAGCGATTTAGCGACATGTCCTTTTTTCATTTAAAAAGCATAAATGTTTTTTTTAAGGTCTTCTTTTTGTAGATATACAGCTACTTGTTCTTGATCTTCCTTTTATGTTTTGAGTGGACACATTAGAACTCTGAAATCCATAGTGATTCCTAGTTTGGTCATAATCAAGGCAATGTATGACTTGTATGTTTTCCTTCTTGCTGCTATCTCAAAATTTTGCCTGGTATTTCTTCTTTATCATGGATATGAACCTTAGTAATGATGTTGTACTATGTTTATCTGATCTATATTTGATTAGGACATGAGAATTATCAATTTAGCTTTTTACCTTATCGCTTATACTACTAATGTTTAAGACCTTTTGAGAAATCTTTATATCTGCATATGCATGTCTTTGTATACACTTGGGGGCGACTTATCTTAAGTTTCTTCTTAAGAAAAATAAAGGAAAAAAACTGTCAGATAAAGGTCCTCTTGGGGGAGCATAATTTTCACCTGATGAGATGTGAGGCGGTGATAAGCGATGGGAGGAGACATAAACCTTTTCCCTCCTCCTTCTCACGGGACTTATAGAAAACAAAAGATGGTGGTACAAAAGTCTAAGCATGGGGCCTTGGGGAAGTATCAGATGCATTCCCTTGCCCAAAGGGGCCTCCTCTGGCACGTTACATTTTTGTTTGGAGAAGAATCTGAAGGATTGTGCCCGAAGGACATTTAGGGGAAATATCGTAGTTAGAAGGGATGGATTAGAAGGGATGGATGGGTTAGAACTTTGGTTCAGTCTTCTTGGGTGTCTCGTATTTTTCCAGATGTGTTTTCTAGAAGTCAGTTTGGTCAAGGAATAAGAAGAAAATGATCCCAATGCACTTGAGTTTTGCATAAATTTATAATGGATTGGAATAATTAAACACATTTGACATTCCCTGTGAATTATTTTCAAAGGTGGAATTCGATAGTGCCACCAACCAGTGCATGCACAAAGATGCACATATGCAGATGTAAAGATTTCTTAAAAGGAATCTCAATTTTCTTGAAATAGTGGAAAAACTTTGGTTGTGAGAATAAGCATCCTTTTTGTAAGCATTATTTTCACCTAATGAAATGGGTGGAGGTGATAAACCTTTTCGCTCCTTGATAGGAAGAGATGCGTGTTTAAGCATGGAGCCTGCGTGTTTAAGCATGGAGCCTTGGGGAGGTATCAGATGCATTTGGTTGCCCAAGGGGGCATTCTCAGGCATGTTACATTAATGATGGGAGAAGGTTTTGAAGGATTTTGCTGAAGGTCGTCAAAGAGAAGTTTGGTCGTTAGAAGGGAAGCATGGGTGTTAGAGCTTTGGCTAGGTCTTCTTGGGTGTCTCGTACTGTTTCAGATGTGTTTTCTAGATGTCATTGTGGTTTGAGGAATAAGGAGAAAGGGATCCCAATCCACTTAAGTTTTATCCAAATGTAAAACAGGAATTGCACACATTTGCTATTCCCTGTGAATTATTGTGAGGGAATTGGTTGGTGCCATGGTCATACTTCAAGAGGCTCTTTTGAGGGCAAAGAAGTTGAATAGTTAACTAGGTTATTAGGAGGTGTAATATCTATGTATGCAACATTTAGGTGGATAGCCTTAAATTCGGGATAGTGGAGGTTTTCATTTTTCCAGTGTTTTTTAGGAGGGCCTGTGGGGAGTTTTGCAGGATGTCTAATGTGGAAGTCCAGCACCCCCTTTCATGTTGTGTTTGGCTGAATGACCACTATGAAAATGTCTCATATTGGGGATCATGTCTAAAAGCATATTTTCAAGTTAAACATTTATTTATTTTGCAAAGGAAGGGGAAATTGTGGACCATCATCTACTGTATTACTCTTTTGCCAATCAGGATTAGAATTTCTTCCACGATCTCTTTATGGTGTTTTGGGTAATGATGGAGTTGGTCACTGTTCTCATTGATTGATCATATTCTCCATTTGCGTTGTGAGATTTGTCCCATTGGTTATCTTTTAGGGCGTCTGTAAAGAGCATTATCATAGAAATATTCAAAGGTAATTTTACAAAGTTTGAGTTTAGAAGATAAGGGATTAGGGGGTCCATGATCTCATATGCTCTTATTCTTAAGGAGTGCTCTGTGATTAAGGTGGACAACATATGAGATTGGATTTGGAAGACATTTGCTGGAAATGAGTTCCATGATATTGACCTAATGCCTCAATGGAACATGCCTCGAAAAAGGAAAGGGATAAAATAAAGCTTAACTTTGTTTATAGCTTCGAGGGAATCTGTATCTGTCTTATGGGTGTGGCCGCTTCAGGGATGACCAGGGAAGGTACTAGGTTTTTCTTAGCTTGCTAGGTAGTGGACTCCATTTAAACTTAATCTAAACGGCTCACTTGATGGGCCTTAGGGTTTTCTACTTTCTCCGAAATTGTCATGGGACTGCAATTGAGAAATCTTGATGTCACTAGGTTCATTTTAGGGAATGATTTACCCATTAATAATTGTGAACCTAATGAAACGAGATCTTTGATGATAAGAACTTGGTGGCTATCTCATTTGCCATGTTTTCAAAGGGGCTAATCAAGAAACTAACTACTTGCATTAGAAAGAGTATGCTGAGAGGCTCTAAGGCAATATCTCCCACTCGCTGAAGCTTTTCATTGTGACCAAATTAAGATCAGAGAGTAGTCTTTTATGGGCAGCCCAGAAATTGATGGAACTCCTGGACATTATTCAGATGTGTGATTAGAGACCAGGCAGAGTTCTATAGTGGTGGATACACATTTGAAAATTTCTGAAGGTTTATTCTTACCACATGCTCTACCCGTGTGGACAGTTCTTATGGGATATGTTTAGGTATTATGCTATGTTGAATGAAATAGTAAGTCCCTATTTCTGGGTCCATCAATGAAACAGTATGTTGCCATTAGGGGGCTCGTTGAGGGTTGATGTGGACGTAATTGCGGAGGAGACTGATACTATACCTCGAGAAGAAGATCTTTGTGGGTTGATATATATTGTTTGGGGAGACTGATAGTATTTATTGAGAATGGGATAGATTTGTGCCTTTGGCTGAGCAAAATAGCCATATTGACTGGGCCGAAAAAATGTTCGATTGTGACATTATTTTCTAGATGATTGCTGTAATCTCCTGGAAGGATTACAGTTAACAGTTTCAAAGAAAAAAGAAACTCTTGGAAGGATAAAATTGAGCCATTTCTTTGCCTTAACTGTATGTAACCTAATTATGCCTTTTAAAGAAGCGGATATCTGGAAACTATGTTGTGCTAGAAATCGCCTAACGTTGAAATGCAAGGCCCCAATTTGTTTTACCTTTATGAAAGACCATCTCCATGGCACGAGCATCTGGTTCTTCTTTCCTTTTATCTCTTTCTTTGATTGACCGATGCACAAGCATCTAACAAATACGTTATCTTGCAATATGAGTAGGGCATGATTTCAGATTTCAGGAGGGAGAGTTTTTTGCAAACATTTTGACAGCTCGAATCTTGTGACTGGTGGAAGATCTTTGCCTGCTGTAATGAATATCTAAGTGAAACTGCATGACAAGCTTGAGGCTTTCGAGAGTAAATGTGATGAAGGGGATTCCAAACTTCTAAGTTACCAAAGTGGGATCAGTAACCTAACCATTATTTTCCTCCTTTTCCTAGGAATAATTATCAAGATATAAAAGTAAGGAATTTGCCAGCAAGGAATTGAGTTGATAAGCTCACAGCGAGCTAGTTTTGAGGTTTGCGTGTAAGGGAGTTGTAAACTACCATCCCTTTCAGAACTTGCTGCCACAAATGATGTGCATCTTCTTAGGTTGAGGAGGTTTCAAGATATTTTCATTTTGCATTTGTCTTCGATAACTATTTATTGTGGGTTGATCCTGTCATCTTTCTGTGTGTCAAGGGTATATATACATGTTTTTCACTCCATATTGATTGTAGACATATATGCAGTGCATTGAGAATCTTCCCAAGACACATCATTCCTTTTGAATTTTGTACATGGGTCTTTGTCTCTTATAGAACAAAAATATAGATTGTGAGCCATTAGATCCATTGTATGCGTCATGTGCTTCCTTTTAACATCCTGTTGTGATTTAAACTGCAGAAACTCATACCCATGGCCCATATCAGGAAGCTAAATGGAATGCTAGGTGGAGAAAATTTATAACAAGCGAATCCGATTCCTTTGAACATGATGGCACTTGGAAACATGCCAATGCTCATGTAAGCAAAATAGTGTGCGGTCATTGTACTAATGGCTCAGTTGGCCATGCAATCAACGCTTGACTACAATACACTGTGGCTAGATTTGAAGAAATTCAGATGATCAAAAGTCGAGGATAGCTAAAGCCACTCTATCTCCTGCTTGTACATGAAAATAGTTGCTTGGACCCAGAAAGGGTTGCTCAATCTAGTGGGTGCCAAAATGCTTTGTGCTACATAAGTTTCTGAATGAGGATGTTTCCATGCATCAAATGGAGAGTTTGAAGTCCATCTCGCTTGAGTATCCGAAAATAATAATGCTGTCTGTGGTGTGGAGAAGTATGACCAGCAAGGTCTAATAGATCCAATCGCATTCTTGTCAGCCTCAAGGATAAAACCATCATGACGGCATCTAAATATCAAACAAAGAAGTTGTATAAAATGTTATGTACCTCTCTCTGTAGATATCACAATCATTACTAGAAGTTGCATTAAAGCATTGGTTGAGGTTTATCCTCTGACATTCTTTTGGAATTAAGATTTTGGCTAACTAGAGTGCTCTTGGTTTTGAACTTCAAAAAATCGTAGTTCTTGGTCTTGAAATAAAGAAACATCACATTTTAAATGGATAATAAATGCCATCACAGCTAGTGACATGAATACTTTGTTAAGGGTGAATGTCTGTTCTTTTGAGAATCTAGTGGGTTCATTACAATGTTCTAGCCTATTGGATTTTTAAGAAGGCTTGATAATGTAAATTGATTCAAATATTTATCACGTCTGAGGGCTCCAAGAAACTTCTTGGGTTCTTTAGAAGGATAATTTGTGATGGGCTTCTATTCCCACCTGACCATGGTGAGGTTCTAATTTTGTTTTTAATGTAGATTAATTATCTTGTTGGAAAATCAATTAATGGTTGTGATTTAATCTGATGGGTAGTCATGGTTAAAGGACCATACTATATCATATATAGGAGGATAATAAGATACAGCAGCTGCTGTCATTATCTTTGTCGTGCTGGGCTGCCTTTCTTTAACTATCATAGGAAACAAATTTGTGGTCAATAAGCCAGCGTATTTATAGTTTACTGGGAGAAAGAAGGATCCATTGATCACCTTCTAGTTCGGTACATTTTGCAATTTGCAGAGAGATATGTTAAACTTGTTTGATACTATATGGATTATGCTAGGTTTCTGTATTCATTATAGTCAAGGATGTAGATGACATCGAACTAGAGGAGATTGACACTATGGGAGTGGCTATAGTCTGCTCTCATCGAGATTATGTGTGGTAGAGAACAGTCTAGCATAATATTCTTAGGCAGCTTGTATACATAACTTGTTAGAACACAAAGAAGGATGCAGTGATATGGCCTTTGCAAGACCAAATATGTTAGGGATAAATACAAGGAAAAGTTTTTAGTGAGTCAGGGCCCACATCTATTACCACGTGAATCTATACCATCCACATAATTGAATGGTGATGTCAAGAGAGAACCGGTGACTGGTGGGCGGTTGTACTTCTTTGACCTCTCAGTAGAAGGTATGGAACCTCTCTAAATTATTATTTCTCTCTCTCAAAGACAAAACGGAGAGAAAATGAGCATCGACAAAACCATAGAAGTTGTTGGGAAATGGATAGAGCTACCTTAGCATGAGAGAACAATCGCTGCGAAAGGATGCACAAATGTAAAAGCCACTGACTGGTAAATGACTCCTACAACTTGTCAAAAACACGTTGGGAAAACCGAGAAGTATACAAAGACGACAAAAGAGTCACCGGAAAAGAAATTAAGACCATAGAATGAGGGAACAATAGCCGGAAAAGAAGACAATGAATGTTAAAACCACCGGCGAATGACAACTACAACATGCCAGAAACTTGTCGGAAGTTGTACAGAGACATTAAAAACAAATCGAGAAGTTTACAAAGACGAAAAAATTAGCCAGTAAAGAATCTAGTGGGGAGAATTCCCTCTCTAAAACATAATGGAGAGAAAACGAACGCTGGAAAACCAGAGAAGTCACCGGAAAATGGACTGAGCGAAAGTAGAATAAGAGAACAATGACCAAAATGGATGGACGATCATAAAAACCGCCTACAAATGACACCTATAACTTGCCGGATATTTGCAAGGAAGCGTGCAGTGACAATATAAATAGACTGAGCAATATACAAAGACAACAAAAGAGTTGTTGTAAAAAAATTTATGAGTGTAGACTTAGAGAACATTCATTAGATAAAGGAGAACGAACATTAAAGCTACCAGTGAATGAGAACTACGACATGCTGAAAACTCGTTGAAAGTGTACGGAGACACTAAATAGACCGAGGAGTTTACAAAGGCGACAAAAACTTTCCGAAAAAGAAACTCACAGTAAGAAATCACAAGTAGAGGAAATCTACAAATAGTTTTTTATTAAATATACCATGTGAAAAAAGGGTGAGGATAAGAGTGGGCATTTGATGGCATGGGCCTCCTTGTATGGGCGCTTGAAGGGTTTTTGCGGATGTGTGGCTCTCAACAGTGAAATTGTGCCTATTCACTGACGGTTTCCCTATTTTTTAGTTGTCTTTGAAGAGAACTTACTCCACATCAACCTGGGGTTCCAGTTACTCGGTTTCTCATCTTGAAATTCAGGCACCATCTGCTGTTTACCCATATTGAGACCCTAGATCTGTGGGCCCAGAACCTAATAGGTGCGAGCCCGAATGCACAAAAACTGGGTTCTAAATATAATCAATTTTCAAGATTTGTGAATGGAAATTATTTAAGGATTTCAGTGGAGATCAAGATCAATTGCTAACAAGTACAACTCCTTCATGAGCTGCTTTAAAGGTTAAATTTTACTAGTGTGCAGAAGGTAATAAGAGGCAACCGCTACAAAGTGGTTGGGAAGACGATTAATTACTTTTCTTGATGGACCTTCCTTCCGTTGCTCTCCAACACATTTATTGATGGGACTAACCCTTATGACTAAGTTAAATTTACAGTTTCATATGCTTATAAATATGCTTATAAATAGACTATTATGTGCCCATTATGAGGAAGACGGGAAATTTCATTGAAATTGTAATGGAACTTTTGAGTTCTAGAGTTGTGATGCTCAGTTAATGGTTGTTGCACTCTCCCTTTTTTGAGATATTCTCTCCTTCTTTGATTTTAACTGCATCAAGTGGTATCAGAGTAGGCTTGATCCCGCTGGATTCGAGATCTGATAGCTACACAAGTTCCTCAAGACTTGAGGTGCGCATTCGATGGCGGCTTGACTCAAAGGTTGAATTAGTTGATGGATTTGGTGATCCATGGAGCCCCTACAGTTTATTGAGTGACTATGACCTGCATGAGATTTGTGCCAAGCCCCTACAGTTTATTGATATTTTGCAGAAGCTTTAGAAGAGAATCCATTTGTGGGTATTTTTTTGGATTAAGATTGAATCATCACGTCTTAGCATAATTGGTGAGCCTATATATGATAAGGATACAGATGAATAATAGGTGATCAACGAGGTATATGATGGAAATCTAGTTTATTATTGAGGAGGATCATAAAGATTTAAAATTTCAAAGTTTAGCAGGGAACACAAAGACCCTATTCTAGAAGGAATTTAAAATTAATTTCAACTATTATTTATGGAGGATTTTTGTTCAACCCAATAAATATACAGAAACTTTATTTTTATGGAGATCCAATGAAGGAGACCTGAAGTGTGTGGTGGGACTACACCACCAACTACCAAAACTGAAGTCGGTATGCAAAGCATATAGAACATTAATCTTAAGAAAGGAAGGATCTCATAGTGAACTCGATGATGAGGTCTTTTTTAGTAGGGGTGAATGATGCAGTCATTATCTGACGATCATAACTTTTCACTCGTCTCCTATTGTGGTGCTTCAAATTGCAATTCGAAGATCTTTCAGTTATCTACAAAGGATATTTCTAGGGCTTTTTCAAAAATTTTCTGTTTTTGGCCTCAAATCTTAGTTAGTACATGCCTGAAAATAGTGACATTTTTTAGAATAATCAGATTTATTTAGGTATTTATTAATTATGGTGGTCATTTTAGGGTCTTAAATTGTTTTATTCAAACTCAAGTTAATTTTAAGGTCTCATATGCTTATAAATAGACTATTATGTGTCGATTGTGAGGAAGAGGGGAAATTTTTTTGAAATTGTAATGGATCTTTTGAGTTTTGGAGCTGTGATGCTCAACTAATATTTAGCACGCTCTCCCTTGTTTGAGATTTTCTCACTTTCTTTGATTCTCACTGCATCAAAATCTAGCAAGCTTTCAATTTATTGAGTACCGAACTTTTAATCAATTTCAAGTCTTTACATATTTTAATGATGCACCCAGGAAAGGAGAAAAGTTTTTTAGTTCGATGCAAGATGGTGTTAGTACACTGTATAGCATGTGGCATTGCTTTGGAGGCACCCAATGTGGTTTTTTATGGATATAGATCATTAAAAGAAGATAAATAGGTGTGGTTTCAAAAGTTTTCTCAATTTTTGCATAGAATTTGCATGTAGGCCCTGTATTTACAACAAGATTTGTATAATTGTCCAGATAAAACTAGTTGGATACTTAGGGCAATTCTAACTACTAAAAATCTTAGGGTATGGACATATAAGTATTAATAATGCTTGTATAGGAATGTTTCATATATTTTTTAGCATCATCATTAGCCTCATTATTTATTATCATCAGAGCCTTATCCCAACTATTTGGTGTTGGCTACATGAATATTGTTATGGCATTGCAGTCTATCAAGGGCCATACCCTCAATCACACCATAAATCACCATATTCCCTCAATCACCATATTTTTTCTCACTACATCCATCTATGTCCTTTAGGACCTTCCTTTTATTCTTTTAGAGCCATCGAATTAAACCAAATCACCACTCCTAACCATTGTTGTTCTAGTCGACGTTGTACATGACCAGACTACCTAAGCCTACGTTCCCTCAATTTATCATCTATTGGAGCCTACCCCTAAATTCTCTCAAATATATTCATTCTGAATTCTATCCTTCCTTGTCTAAAACGAGAATGAAGTGAGGAACGCTAGGCTGGTTAGTGCACTTATATAAAAGGCACCTTTTTATCAGAGGTCTCGAGCTCAAGTCTTGGTGGGCAGTTTTCTTTACTTACCCTTTTTTTTTTGTCTAAAACGGGAATGTATAATTTAGCAATGTAATACAAAATAGGAGGCTATGGATAATTTGTAGGAATTGTCGCTTTCAAAAGCATTTGTTGGTGGTTTTTTTCTTTTTCATTAATAATAATTTATCATAATAAAATTACTTCCACTCCTATTTTCCTTGCTGTGCACACATGACTGCATTTCGATGTGCATTCCTTATTCCATGGTTATGAGTAGTTGGTGTTGACAGAGTACTAGTATATGGAGTGGGTGTTGGGGATTGACCAATATATATCGTGGTTATCACACTGTCCTTAGATTGTTGGTCGTACTATAGTTCACAACTTTCCACAATCGATCCCATACACGATTT